CATGTTACATTGAGAATTCTGAGCTGCTGGAAGCTACTCATGAAAAGCTGTTTGGTGTTAATGTACTGTAGATTGGTCAATGTCCTCATCAAAACAATATGGGGAAGCAATAAAATGTGTGGAATTTGAATCGAGGGAAGGTCAAGCTATACAATGCTTTGGTAAGATCTCACATGGACTGTTTTGTTCATATTCTTTTGTTCACCATAACACAAAAAGAAGAGGTTCCTTTTAAAATTACTTCAGAAGAGGTTAAAAGCAACAAGAATGATGTCTGGTCTCAGGGGTTTGTCATGTACAGACCCAACTAAACCTCTTTAATCCAGAACCAAGGAGAGAGAGAGAGGAGATTTCTTTCAAGCATAGTCTGCCGAGCAAACATAGGGCCACAGTTTCAGACTCTGAAGGAAAGAGGGACTGGCAGAGAAATGTATGGATTCCTTATCAAGATGGACAAAATAGCCTCCTTAACTAAAAATACAGTATGAACAGTTACTAAAACTTGGTATGAAATAGCTTTAGGTATTTCAATAAATATCTTCTAGAACCCATTTCTAGTACACTAGTTATTTTTAATAATATAATTCTGTAGAGCAGATAATTTATTTTATGGTATTAAAACACTCTTAGGAGCTATTTACCCACAATAAAAACATTTGACTGTATTTTTTGCTATATAAGCAAAATACAGTATATAACAAAGAAAGATCAATGAGAGAGTGGTTAAACTATGAACTAACCAGAACACTTGCTCTTACACTGAGAGTGTGAATGAAAGCAGCACCTTGGGGATAAGCAGAAGGCTTCTTTAGCACCTATAACAACACCTTGTCTATCACCTTGTCAAAATTGTAATTATCCTCTGTGAAATTTATCCTTTGTGTACATCTGGTATATGTCTCTTAATCATGTGTGGTTCACACTGATAAAAATTATATATATATAGCAATAGGTAATAATTGGTAAAACCTTTATTCATGCACGGAAAAGTCTTGTAAAGTAGCTAAATACATATTAGTGGTATTTGTATTTGCCTCAGCCCTGTTACATCGAGAAGACAATCTTTAGCAGACAGCTTTTCCAAACTATTGATCCAAAAAATAACTCCTCGATAACTAAGCCCCACATTTTGTCACATTTTGCTGAAGCATGTTCCAGGTGTGCTAAAATATATATTTTATTTAGAAAAATCGGCTTTTTTCCCTCCTTAAGCAAACTATTTCATTTTAGTTCAGGTGGGTAGCTCCGTTAGCATGCATAGGGTGCAAAGGAACAAGTAATAGCTTTATTCCAAGCTGTAAAGAGAAGAAAAAACAAAACCTTTTGGCCGAGGAGCCTTCTTCAGGTGTGAGAAGGTTCCATGGCCGAAACTTTACGTTTCCTTTCTTCTCTTGTCAGCATGGAATAAACCTATTACTTGTCCTATTTCATTTTAGTTAGCCTTAGGTACATATCATTTCATAGAAGCTTAATTTTGTGAAATTAGGTGGAGCTACAGATTAAAGAACTGTGATTCACAATTTGTTTTACGTTTTTAGGAGACAATAAAGCAGCTTGAAGAGGAAATCAGAAGTATTGAAGAGGCCAGGAATGTCTTCACCTCCTTCACAGACTGGCTCAGCAATGCGCAGAAGAACTTCAGGGCTGTGGCTGTTGGCATTAAAGTGGTTGACCGTGTTGCCATGGAGAGCAAGATGAAGAAACTTGAGGTACAAGTGATAGAAATGGCACTGTTAACAATCAGTCTTTCACTGAACGTGTGAACTGGAAATTAGTCGACGTGATGGATTTGTGTGAACAGTCTAGTCCGCCTGACTCAACTCTCTCTGTCTCTTCTAAGCATCTGAAATACATGTTTTTTAACATACTCCATTGTCTACAGCACCATTCACGTTTAAACCATATCAGTTAATTCACAAGAAAATAAAGAATAAAATCATTAATCAATATCAATAATTTACTGGTTTGTAGGCAGAACAGGTTCATAATATTTTACATTCTTTCCAGATCAGTCAAATATTTTAGAGTCATTGAATACTCTACATACTATTATACAGGAATCAAATAATTTGAATAAATTGATTTATTAACAATAATTTGAATACTGATAAATATATGTGAAATTAAGGGGAAATTATTTAATGTAAAATGTTTGTTTTAATTATCTTCCCAAGTTTCAGAGCACACCTTGTCACAAACCGTTTCACCATTTTCCTTTAAAACTGGTCAGGTAACATCCCAGGACTACAATATTTTGAACAAAATATTATTTGTGTGCAAACAAAGTCCATCCCTGGTTCATCATGAATCTTTCAGAAACCTTCAAAAATTGCTTGATCAACCAAATGCTGCCAAAACTCTGAATTGCTTCATTTCCTAAATCCATACAGTTATGGGATAGTAGCAAACATTCCAAAGTCTGTGAAGATGAAATTTGAAAAATGATGATCCAAAATAGTTATTTAACCTGCCTTTTCTTTGTTTGACAGTTAGTTGATCAGCACCAAACTTGAAAGGTGTTGTCCCTGGAACAATACAATTCATTTTCTGAAAATAAGAAAAAAACTGTACTGTATTTCCTATTTTGCCATTAAGCTTTTTCTCAGGACTGGGTCAAGGAATTTCTGTGAAACCAGACAACCTTAATCCCTTTCAAATTTACAGAGCAGTATCCTGTAGCCTGCCACAATACATTTGAAAAACTGAAATGACAATTTCCAGCCAATTATAATTGTTTGAATCTAATAATTAACAGATATAAAATAGAAACAGGTAACACATTGCTGCTTGCACTGTCTTATATACTATATTTGGTCTTTTCACTTCTGTTGCACTTTAGGCTTGGCTGATCACCATTGTATCAATTTATTGTACTGTATCTCGAAACCTACTGTAGCTACATGCTGTCCAATGCTGTAGAATTGATCCTTGAGAGGAAAAAATAAATATCTGAAAATCTTTGCTTTAGCAAGTGCAACATCAATACAATGCGCAGTAGATAACAGGATATTGATTGCTTCTCTAAGTAAGAAACAAGCCACAGAGGGCTCACACGTACTGTACAGTAGCTCTTTCAACTGTTGTTGCTAGAGAAAAGATGAAAAACTTCAGTGTCAGGTACCTGGCTCCAGAGACAACTTAATTGCCGCTGACGCCTTGTTTTTGAGTCTTACAATTTCTGCAGAAGATCTTGAAAGCTTTGTTTTTTATTTAAAATTTCCAATGTTTGAAAATAAGCTAGAACTGAGCAACACTGTTTTCTGAGGTGCAGAAGATGATTAAATACCTGAAATATTAAAATTATTTTTTGATTTCTGAAATTTTTTTTAAGAGCTAGCTTTAACTAAACAACAGTGGTAGTAAGATTTAATTCTTCTGCTTTGTAATTAACAGTGAATTGATTTGTGAATTCTTGTTTCTCTTAAGAATTATTTTCATTTTAACTGTCATTAGTTATATTTGTCCAAAAAAGCCCAACCATTATGTGCTATAGATTTCACAATATGAAGAATAACTAGAACTAACATTACCACCTGATAACCACAATGAACCAAATGGTGTGTCCTCTCCTGAGCAAACAAAAAAAGTGTAAAAAGTATTAGCCCACTAGGAGATTTCATTTTGATTCCTTGAACAAGGGTGTTTTTAATGAATACAATCACAAGGATCACTAGTATTTGGGATCACAGGAGGCTCTACTCCCGCTTTGTTTTGACACTTGGCTGTTGCTGATGAAAGGTGGTTGAAATTGTACAAAACCCCCAGCTAGGAGGGGGTGGCAGTTTCCATGGAAACTCCTTACCAGACTCATTTTAGAATTTCCTAATTGGCCTCTCCTTCCTTTCAGACACAATAGAACCTCAGAACCAAACAGTGCAGTGTCAATACCCTGACAGATTTCAAAAACAAGTACCTAAGAGCTAGTCTTTAATCTTATTGCTTTACCTTCATGAGCACCATTCAATGACTTTGTAATAATGGCCTATGTAATAAACCACAGAGTGAACACAGGGGCGTATGTTGTTTAAGGATGCAGAATGAAAAAGAATGGGGTTATATGAAATAATCAAATTCAATGACAGTTCCCATACACTTAAATTTGCAAGTGTCTCAGACTGCCTCAATCTTCAAAAACGTTGCACTGATCTCTGGAAATACCTTTATTAATTTGTGTAACAGATACTTTTTATACAGATTTCCAGCTCACACTCTGACATTTCCACATCTTGATTCATGATCAAATAATTTCTGGAACAGGCAGCAGGGTGTTAGCATTGCTTCTTCGCTGCGGCCCAGGGCTCACATCTTTGGGTGCTATCTATGTGGAGTTTGCATGTTCTCCTGGGGATTGCACAGGTTTCAGCCAGGTGCTCCAGCTTCCTTCCACGAGCTTAGCTTCTTCATCCGATTCTCGAAACTAAACTGAGAGAGACTCTCCAGCATTGACACAGGAGTTCTCTATTGAAATCTGACTACAATACTGCATACAACCAAATCTTCCACTGGTAACCTTTCCACAAAAAGGCCAAGCAGCTGGAAATGAATGGTTTACATTGGTAGTCTGGTGTGAAGCTCTAATTCACATCACGTCTCCTTACTAGTGCTTCTAACAAGGCATCAGTTTCATAGTTGTATTTAAACAGTGCTCTATAACTGGTTAAATCCATGAAAAATGACTAAACTGAGCAAAGTTTTCCCACAAAGTTGCATTCCTTTGATCTGCGAGCTTTATAGTTTTGGGGATTCATTTCTTACCACTAGTTATCCAATGTCCATCCATCCTTTGGCACCAGTTCTCGAAAACAGATCTGTGTAGGCTAAGAATAGATTCCAGTAAACTTTCATGGAGTGGCGCAGTGGTTAGCATTACTGCCTTACAGTGCTGGGGCTCCGGGGTCACTTCCAGGCTGCTAACTGCATGGAGTTTGTATGTTCTACCTATGTTTGCTTGGGTTTCCTCCTGGAATACCGGTTTCCTACAGTCCAAAGACATACTGTACTGGTAGGTTAATTGGCTCCTGAGAAATAATTTACCCTGGTGTGACTGTGTGCTCACCTGTGTGTGTGCCCTGCTTTGAACTGGTATTCTGCCTTTGTGCCTGTTGTGTGCTAGGACAGGCTTCAAATCTTCCACCATCCTGTATTGGTTAACATGGTTCAAAAAATGTATGGATGGATTTATGAGAATTTAAAGAACTTTGGGTATTTTCAGGTAAAGGTTGAAAATAAATAATTTATTTGAAGAATATTGAAATGTGAATGGAGACTGTGGATAACCTGTGTGCTGTTCTGGGACAGTCTCTCCAGAGTGACATGGAGCTGGGGCACAGCTTCCTGAAGGCCACGCGGGAGAAGACGGAGAAAGCTGTGGCCTTCCTGGAGGAGTCGGAGGCTGGGCACCTGAGGGGGGAGGTAGACGCCCAGCTGTCACGTTTGGAGGGGCTTGTGGGAGCCCTGCGTGCAGAATACAGTACCCTAGAGAAGTGCATGCTCCTATCTAAGGAGTTCCTGGACAAGTACAAGGCCCAAACGCAGTGGGTAATGGAGACCCGATCTCTGCTGCACTCGTCTGTCGAGCCCAAAGCCGAGCTCTACGAGAAGAAGGCCCAGTTAGCAAAGTACAAGGTAAAGGTGAAATTGTATTTAGTGGTCTAATTAACAGAAAGTGTTAGTCAGTTCTCCTGCTAAAGTAGCAGCTGGTTTGTGTTCCGTGTTTTGTTACTCCTGCTCCCATAGCAAAGTCTGGATCACTTTTGCTTATCTAGCTGAAATCTATTTGGTATTCATGCTATCATTTTTATTTTCTTATGTGAACGATTATTAGGCAATACAAATAAAATACTACACTGCGCAGAATCTGACTTCTTTAATCAGCTTCTGAAAAAATTGATGAATTTTTTAGAACCAATCAAGACTGATTACGTCACTTCATGAATGAGGCGAGTTGAACAACAGCAGAATGAAAGAAGTAATTTAGATATTTTTAACTAGTTGGCGTTTAGTCAGGTCCCATGTGTGTGTGCTGAAGAAGGAAGGGGCACATGACAATCTGAGCATTTTTATAAGGCTGGTACCCAAAAAACAGGGTAGAAATGACTAAAAACTAAAACCCCCTTCATTTTCCACCAGACTATCCTACAGACGGTCCTGTCCCACGAGTCCTCGGTGAGATCTGTGATTGAGAAAGGAGAAGCCCTTCTCGAAACTGTTCCCGATCCTTCTATCAGAGACAACATGGTGCGACTAAATGAGGATTTCCAGCAGCTGTGTACCGCAGCCAGGGTGAGCGAATGAGTGGTGTTCAGTTTACTGTACCTGAATGTTTATTTTACATGACTAAAACGTATTGAAAGAACTTCATGTTCTAGGGCGATTTAATTCCTGTTACATATTATAAAGTATATAAATAGTATCTGCCATGATAGTATTAGTGTTAGACACCACAGAAGTACAATTAAAAAATTAAGTGACATAACCTAAATAGTAAGTTCTAGACTGATAGATCTGACATCTAACAGTTATGGAAAAGATACAGCAGCTATAACGTAAACTAGAAGATTATACTGTATGTATGTTACTGTAATAGGATTCTTGGAGATACAGTAGCAAAGATTTAAAAACGGTAGATTTTTTTAAAAATCCGTTAAGGAGTTTATTTAAAGCAATAGAGGACCAGATAATTCTATATAGACCATAAAAGTCTAATTGGATGTTTAGACTTTCAGAAGGCTATTACTCATAACAGACTAAATCTCAAATTGAAGATGATATGCATTTAAGAAAATACAAGTATTTACAGTAAATCAAGAACAGGGTTATGAATAGGGAATACATTTACCTGGTGAATACTTCAACTGGAGTGATGTAGTAGAGCACTGCAGGGATCCATTGTAGGGGTATTGCTCTATTATTATTATTAAATAATATTAATAATACTAAAGTGTTTCTTTTGACACAAACCCCACTCAGTCACTCAGTCCACACCATCCCTAATGTTGAGCATAGTATTGACAGTATTATGCTTCTATAATTATTTGGCAGAATGTTATTACAGGGGCTGGGTAGTTTGTTTAGATTGATGCTAATATAGATGGAGCAAAATACTAGCAAAGCTTAAAGGAAAACCCACTTCAGCCAAAATCTACACTCGACTCAGAATAAGAAGATGAATGTCCTTGAGTGACCAGTCAAATTCCTGGCTTGAATCCTACTGAGAATCCCACTGCTGTCCATAAGTGATTCCCAACAAATTTGAGAGCACTTTAGCAAATCTGACGAAACCGTTCTGGTTTGCAAAGTTGGTAGAGATTTACTCAAAAAGACTTGTAGCTTTAATTGTTGCTTGAGGTGCAGTCAATATTACTCCAGTGAAAGGGCGTAAATATTATTATTATGATGATGATGATGATGATATTCTTGGCTCCTTGTGTGATCTCTGTTTATTTAAAAAATCAATAAATAGACATTTGAACAAAAATCTTGCTTTCTTTCTTAAACATATTTTTAAATGTTTCACACGTTGAAGTGGTAAATCTTTTTATTTCTTCAGGAGGGGAATTGTGCTATTGTTTTTAAAAGGTGCATTGCTGATAAATTAGGCGTAGATCATTTAGCAGAAGGTAGCCTGGTTTTCAGTGTGGCTGTGTTTTTGTGCTGTGCTGCAGACACACGTGCAGACTCTGGCTGGGCGAGTGAAGGAGCATGAAGCCTACAACACCGAGCTGCAGGAGGTGGAAAAATGGCTGCTGCAAATGTCCAGCAGGCTGGTGGCCTCAGACACCACGCAGAGCAGAAACCTGGAGATGGCAACCCAACAGCTGGCTAGACACAAGGTGAACACTGCAGGCGCTGCTGGTCAAATGGTCTCTAATGGGTTTTTTCTTCCAATCTGAAACATTAACACTACACTCACTTTCACCATTTGCTTCTGTCATGCTGAAACATGTCAGGAGCAAATGGTGCTTAAAATGGGGCTTTATTTATGCTTGATTCATTTACTGCTGCTAAGGTTAATCATATAGACTACAAGGCCTCTCCAGATGTTATCATCCTATGCAAGAATTCTGTTCTTTTTATTTCACACTGTTACCAATGTGACGTATAAATAAATGTATGTTGAATTGCATTGTCTTCACAGTGATGTAGGTGTGACACTTCTGTGTGAATATGACTGTGTGTTAAAAATCAATTGATGCTATAGTGTAAAAAAAACACACTAATGTATCTGAAAATACATCGTAATCAGCATTGGCAGATTTTACTTAAGTTTACCATAGCTATGATTGTCGTCCGATTGTCCGCTGTGATCAAATAATAAAAAAGTCATTTTTGAAGCATAACCTTAGAAAATACAGGCCAAAGTGGATTATTAACAAATGAATCCAACTCTTATTGGTAATTCTTTTAGAACATGACAAAAGTAACCAAAGATGTAAAGAAATACGTCACATTAAAAAGGTGAACATTTTTTTTTTTACCAGGAGATTAATCTCTGAAAACAAGCCTTGCTGATTATCTATGATTATATTACTGTATGATTGTGGTGTGTTACAACATTATCAAATACTGTAATACTTCAGAGATCCATGATGGAAAGTTTCCTTCAAAGTAGTGATTTCCTACGCATGTGTCTTTTCAGGCAATAATGGAGGAGATTGCTGGTTTTGAGGAATGTCTAACAAGTCTGAAGGAGAAGGGAGATAACCTTGTTGCCAGCTGCACGGAGCATCTTCAAGGAAAGATCAAACAGCCGATTCAAGCCCAGCAGCAGGGGACGAGAGACAGCTACTCTGCCATCTGCAGCACGGCCCAGCGTGTGAGTCCAGCTCTGCCAGCATGCCGCCCCAGGGAGCAGCTCCTTGTCAAGAACGATTGGCAGTCTGTCGCTGGGGTTTGAATCACGGAGCAGAAAGGCCAGAGGTGATGCTCTCTCGCTTTGTTTGCAGGTGTACCAGAGCCTTGACCGAGAGCTTCAGAAGCACGTCAGTCACCAGGACACGCTGCAGCAGGTCGAGATGTGGCTGTCCACTGTCCATGAAGAGCTACGGCTGCACTCCCAGCCCCCTTTCAGTCTGCAGGAATCACTGAAACAGGTACTCTGTTCAATACACAGCACGAAAGAACAAGATACTATGTTTAAACTCTACATTCCTCTCTTTCTTGACCTCCTGCTTTAAATATTTTATAGTGCACTTATGTTCACTTTCATACATTGCTGACAGCTTGCGAAACAGCAGTAGGGCATGTTTTGAAGTGTGGTGATTGTAATCACTCACTAATGAGTAAGATGCTTAACTGGGATAGACCAGCTGCACTGTTTGCTCACTTATGGGATTACACACATTGTAAATGGAGGATGAGAACTGTTTAAAGAAACCCAATTGGAGTTCTTACATGGTAGCTGAAAACAGTGTCTAAGTAATACCTAGAAAGAAAGAAAAACTGATTAGTGCTTACTGTATAACGATTGTTATGTACAATGTTTATTCTGACCTATGTTTAAGAGAGCTTAGTAAACATCATAGCTAGAATCTGGGATTCTAACAACGTATGCATGAAGAGTAGTTAAACTGGTAAAAAATTTTGTGTTTCAGTGTTTTCAGTTCGAAAGTATCCAATAAACCGTTTAATGCATCTATGGAAAAAAAAAGATTAATTTTAAATCTTCACCCACTGCAGTCCTTTTGATCAGAATACAGAAGCTATATGAGCTGGAAGGTGTTCGATAATTCATCATGGTTTTGTATTTCTGCCTGTACAGATGAAACACTACAGAGCACTACAGGAACAGGCCAGCACTTATCTGGACCTTGTCTGCTCAGTGTGTGACCTGTCAGATGAAGCCGTGCAAAACGCTGCAAGAGAAATTCAAACCATAAAACAAATGGTAAGGAGGGACATTCAAGAAACAGGATACAGTTTTTTTGAAGAGCGCAATATTAGCATAAAGTGGATTGTTTGAAGTGTACCCTGTTTACTGTACATTGTTGTTGTTTCAGATAGAGGAAAGGATGTTGAAAACTCAAGAACTGGCCCAAAGCTGGGAGGAAATCAAGCAGCAAAAGTCAGAGCTAATGAGCCATTTCCAGGATCTAGAGCAGCAGCTCCAGACCCTCAGCAGGAGACCCGCAGAACTTGAGATAAAGATTGCCCAGAACATGCTGGTTCAAGTGCAGGTAGGAAACTGTGGGATGGTTTCACAGAATTTCTTCCTTCTAGATATCATGAAAAACTCCGGACTTGTGAAAAGCTATACAGTATATACCAACTAGAAAGATGTACTGTAACTCCCTTTTCTAAACATACAGTGCACTTATGTTTTTGAGCTACAGTATTTGGGATTTGGAACTAAAAGAGTGCAGTAAGATAGGGGGTGTGAATAATTAAATATAAAGTAGAATATAAAAATGATCACAAGAAAATGAGCTTGTCTTGAGTGTATTTATTGCACTCTTTCTTACTGTCATGGATTGCAGATTGGTAATGTTTGGCGCATGTTTTTTTTTTTGTTCACTGGCACAATGAAGTAATAACATAATAGATAAGTGGCAAAGAAAAATATATACACAAAGAAGAATCTACACAAAAACACAACATCTACAATTTTTAAGTAAAAATATTGAAAGGAACCTCTTTTCCTATAAAATAGAAGATCCTACTCAGTGTCCTAATTAATATGAACCTTTTTCTATATTCCAATCAACACATCGCTAAACAAGATAGAGATTTACTAAATCAGATGGATACAACACATAGGAAATATTTCCATGACCTAGAAACTTAGAGTTGTTCAATTAAATGCTTAAATTACCTGGACATGTTCTGCTCTCTGGTCTGTCAGAAGAGGAGCCCTCTCACAGCTGTTTCTTCTAATGCGTTGCTCTTGCTTTTCTGTATGTATTCCCATGATCTTTTATCCTGTCATGGGTCCTAATGATCATAAGGCATACTATAGATAAAGTTTGCTTGTGAACTACAGGACACAAATGGCCATTATGTGCAAGTTCATTTAAAACAAAGGACTGTATACATTTTGTTACCCAAAGGGTTGTGGAAGTAAAGAACAAGCTACCCAGTCAAACTGTTGAAACCTTGGCTTCTTTTGGGAGAAGGCTGAATGAAATCCTTGGATCCATTAATATCCATGGAATATTGAATAGGCTAAATGGCTTAAGAACAGGCTAGATGAATTGAACGGTTTATCTCCTTTGTAACAGTTCTTATGTCCTACATTTCCTATGGCACACTACACTTAATGATTTATGAGCAATTGGCTGAGTCCTAGTTAAAAATTAATAAATACAGTTGCCTGGCCATCTGATTAGAATCCTTAGGGATAAGGTACAGAATAACAAATGTGGTGAAGAAGGTGATGTTGTTGGGCAAAAATTCAACATTTTGATGATCTGATGATATAGTTTTAACAATAGAAAAAGCACAAAATCTAGTAGAAAATCTAAACTGTTACACGCTACAGATCCACTCAAATTGATAATGAGATGTTAACTATCTGTAAGTTCAGACAATCATTTTGATGAAGTGTATTGAATGTCTATAAGCCTAAAGCATCTGGTTAAAGGGGAGACTGTACAAAATTATACTTCTGTTTCTCACAGAAAGATGTTTTTAGCTCCGTGTTTAAACTGCTGCTTGTATTAAGGACTGTTTATTGCATAAATAGGAATTCAGCCAACATCTGCAGTCCAAGCAAGGGATCCTCACCAGAATGACAGAGAGTGTGAACAGGCTTACAGAGGGCCAGGAGTCACCAGAGCATACAGAGATTGGTCACCTGAGCAGCAACTGGCTGGAACTCTGTCATCAAGTGAACAAGCTACTCCATCAGCGACAGGAGGATCTACAGAAGACCAGGGACTACCATGACCAGATCAGTGCTGTTGAGGTGATCTTTGACATGGTGTCCAGAGAGTGGGACAACCTGGCCAGGTAACATTGAACATGTATACTTCTGACCCCTTTGCTGAACCATGGCACAATTAATTGTCCAGAAAATGGCACCACTGGTGCTATTTTCTGTAATGTTACCATTAGAAAGTTTTGAATTCCTTTTATCTTTTCAAGACTGTGAAGTAATTCATGTTTTAACAATGTTAGCTACTTAATTGTTTCTATTATGCTCGTTTTTGCTTACATCAGGACTGATGCTGAAAGCACAGCTGAACACTTAGAAGCACTGAAGAAACTTGCAGCTGTCCTTGAAAAGCAGAGGGGCACCCTTGATGACTTGAAAGAGCACAGGCAAAAAGTGATTCAACGCCTGAACTTAGATGATAAGGAGCTGGTAAAGGAGCAGATAGGACACTTTGAGCAGCGCTGGGCTCAGCTGGAGAGTCTGATTGAGAAGAAGATCCAAGATTCAGTGGTCACTTTGGAGGACATGAGCCAGGTGGAGTCTAGGCTGAAAGAGGCTCGGGAGTGGGCTGAGGAGCAACAGCCAGCCTTATCTGAAGCCATGAAAATGAGCCCCCCTCCAGACCTGGCTCAGAGCTTTCTGTTTGACCATCTCAGTATCTGCAGTGAGCTGGAATCCAAACAGCTGCTCCTTGGTCAGGCCATGACAGATGCAGACAGAGTAATGACTCACCTTGGACTGAATGAACGCCAGAGGCTTCAGCAACTGATCTCAGAAACCCAAACTGAGGTGGAGTCCCTGAGTGCAAAGGTTATCCAGCGGCGAAAGTACCTGAGCAAAGCTTTCACTGAAAGGACACAGTTCCTCCTGGCTGTAAACCAAGCCATCAGCTGGATTCAACAAAATGAGAAAAAGGCTGTAGCAGAAGAGCACATAGCTCTCTTGCCTGATGACCTGAGCAAGCAAGTTAGGACTTGCAGGAATGTTCAGAGAAGCTTAAAAGCCTACCAGAGTGAGCTTACATCCTTATGGTCTCAGGGAAGGGATCTGATGAAAGATGCCACTGAGGATGAAAAGGCTGAAATACTAACTAAGCTGCAGGAGTTGCAGAACATTTTTGAGACTGCTCTTCAGAAGTGTACTCAAAGGCTGCTGGAGCTGGAGAAAGTGCTGGTGTCCAGAAAATACTTCAGAGTGGATCTGGATAAAACTTGCCAGTGGTTGAAACAGGCCGACATTGTAACATTTCCTGAGATTAACCTCATGAATGAAGACACAGAACTGTATGTGCAACTCGACAAATACCAGAAAATATTAGAGCAGGCTACTGAATATGAAAATCTCCTTTTGATTGTTCAGAGGACAGGTCAGGAAATACTACCCACTCTTAATGAAGTGGACCACTGTTACTTAGATGAAAAGCTCAATGCTCTCCCGCAGCAATACAACAGCATTTTAGCTTTGGCTAAAGAAAAGAGAGAGAAAATTCAACAGGCCATTCTGGGGCGCAAGGAATATGCTTCGTTTATCGAAGTCACAAGTAGGGCATTGAAAGAACTGGAGGAGCAATTTTATAATATAGGAAAACATCCCATTAGCCTTCAGCCTGGAGATATTGTGAATTTGCAGGATGAGTATAAAGCTCTCCTCAATGATCTGATGACCTTGGGCTCGGCTGTGAGTGAATTGAATCAGAAGAAAGAAGGTTTCCGCAGTACTGGTCAACCCTGGCTGCCAGAAGAAATATCTCGGCTTGTGAGCATGTACACTGGACTCAAAAGGCGGACTGAGCAGAAAGTGAGTTCTTTAGATGAAACCTTGGAAGCCTTCAAAGAACACGAAGCTATGGCCGTGCAACTGGACACACAGCTGAAGGCCATCAAAGAGGAGCTGGTCAAGGTTAATGGAGAGACTCATTTGGCTGAGGAAAAACTAAAAAACTATCACACCCTGGCCTTCAGTCTTCAAGACGCTAGTTCCCTCCTGAAGAGAATGGTAGAACAGCTGGAGAGCCTGTGTCCACAACTTGACCAAGCTGCCTATCACTCCTCCAGTCAGCAGGCCAATGCCTGGCGAGAGGAGCTGCAGTCCTTGCAGTCTGCCATCGGGGAGATGACAGGAGAGTGTGAGAGCAGGTTTGTGCAAAGCAAAGACTTCCAGACTGAGGTCAGACGAACAATGGACTGGCTCCATCAAGTCAGGGAGGAGATGGATGTTCCGGTCAGTCTGGTTGTAAAGGTGGAGAAGATCCAAGAGGAGATCCGAAAGCAGCAGATTGTCCAGGAGGAGGTCCTGTCCAGGCTCCGGATTATGGCTGCCTTAAGCAGCAAAGAAAAGCAGAAATACAGTAGTGCCAATGAGCTTGTCCCAGCTGATGTGGATGCCAGTCTGGAGGAGCTGGCAAAGCTACAGACTGATGTTCAGCAAACCCTGGCCACCAAGCAGGCAAGACTAGATTTCTCTTACATTTTTTATAAATACAGTAATGTAATTTAACTCAAATAAGAAGAAATATATTTTTGAGAATTGTTAGATGGTAACAGTAATATTAGTAATAGTTGTTATTATCTACTGTTTTTATAGATTATTCCACCATATTTATAGAATAGTACTGTAGCACAGAATAAAATTCTACATCTTGTAAATCCAAAATAGGAGAAAATTATAATTTCATTATATATAAGTAACTGTATATACTAAGTCACAATATGTTCCTTAATAATATATTTTTCTTGTTTATTAAAAGTTTTTTACTTGTTTGTTTTGTTTTTAAGAACTCATTTTTTTTTTGTTACAGTAAATCCAGCAGGCAGTATAGTAAAGATCTGTTCAGTCTTTTTTTGTCAAATTCCATAAAGTCCATAAGGTTTTGAAACTTACCTCTGGTCTATTTTGAACTAATGTGTTGCCCTATTACCATAAAAGGTGTACCTAGACAGTTAACTAACCTTTTCCAGAATTATTAGCCTTAAAGATAAGATTCAGAATTTGTTTGACTTGCTAATCTTCTTGACCATTTTTTGTGGGTTAAAAGTACTTTCCCCTCCTTTGTTTCTTCGTTCTTTTCTATTTGTCCTGTTCCTCAGGGGTCCCTCGAGAAGGCCCTTGCCTGTTGTCAGAGCTGCAACTCCTCAGTGCAGTTTGTTAGTGACTGGCTGGAGGATGCCAGTGTTCTTCTACAGGAAGTCAGCTCTGGGCTCGATGTAGAGAACAGTGAGGACTCCATCAAGCAGCACAGTGAGTTCCTGGCCACAGAAAAGGACCTTCTTGGCCACCTCCAGGAGTTGGAGGCCTTACTGCCTCAGCTGGAAGGTTTTATTACTGCTGCAGCTAATGAGCAGCTGAGGCAGAGTGTGGCATCCTTACAGCAGAGAGGCGAGGAGGTCAGAAAACAACTGCACTGTCACCAGGATCTATTGCACAGGTACTGCCTGCCTCTTCTTAGCTTGTTTATCAGTTGTATTTTGGGCACGTGAAATAAGTTGCCTTTTAAATAGCTACAACATAAAAAAGCAAAACAATTCTTGCACTTAAATGAGTTGTATCCTACTGTAAAATGTCGCTTGCTTCATTGCCTTAATTAAATGTAATATTTTGGAGGGTGCTGGTTTGAGGAAATATTTATATTTCACCTACTGTATAGATTGCAAATATTTTTGTTTTTTGTTTTCATGTTTGGAAAGTTCAAGTTTTCGGTGTAAAGCTTGGAGTACTTGAGTTTCCCCAGTCTTATGCTACGAATTATCTGGCGCCACTGTGTTGCCAGATGCATGCCTATGTTTCTCATTCCCAGTACATCATTTCTGTGTGTGGTGTATTCAGTGCTTTCCTGTGTAGTTCAAAAGGGTCTTTTGGTCTTTTCTGCATTTTAATTGTGGGTCCATAAATCTTCAGGAAAGATTTATTTCAGTGCAAACTCCAGCCAAAGAGGTTTTTTTATACAATATGGAAGACTATCTTAGTGTTGTGAAAATATACTTGGGTTGGCTTGGGTGAGATTATGAACAAAATGTTGGCATGTAGAATGCAGTGAAAGTTGTACAGCATAGTATGGGAAAGTGCTTCACTGGTACAGGTTTTGATAAAACATTTCTCTAACACCTCCTCTCTCTTTAGCTCTGCATCCCAGTGGCAAGCCTACCACACCGCAAGACAGACTGTCATTGAATTATTGAATGAGGCTGAGAAGAAACTTACTGAATTTTCTACAGCCAAGGCAGCCACAAGTGAAGAGGCTGAAGAAAAGCTCAAAAGTCACAAAGTAGGAGATCTAGCTTTCAGAATAACTTCTAGTCTTTTTATTCCACAATGCAAAACCAGTGACCAAGATAACTGTGGCATTCATTATCTGTTTGAGAGACTTTACAGAAACATTTACTCTAAAGTCAACTTAAATTACTTTAAATATTCTCTGAATAAGATCAGATCGCTTTATTGGCCATATACAATTTCTTGTACTAGGGATTTGTCTTTTCACATACCCCAACTTGCTTTCCATGAGACGGAGACAGGGATAGAGGCTTGGGGTCAGAGTGCAGGTTCAGCCATTTGTATAGCATCCCTGGAGCAGTTGGGGTTAAGGGCCTTGCTCAGGCGCCCAACGAAGTAAGATTCCTCTGCCAGCCGTGGGATACGAACCGGCAACCTTCCAGCCACAAGCGCAGATCCTTAGCCACAGGGCCATCGCAGTGCCCCCAGTACAGTGACCATTACATTAACAAATTCCATACTTATGCAATTAAGAATATTCTGTTTTTAAAAATCTAATTCTTATACATACTGCTGGCATTTTAAGCTTTATTAAGATTCTAAAACTGTACAAGGGTGGTGAATGTGTATACAAGGCAACATACAGGTCTTAAGCATGAATTGCTTTATATTTTGGCAAGTCTGCTTACATTGTGTCTTAAAACAATTGTAATTATGTTTTATGTTAGTCATTAACTACTAAATCTTCTACAAGAAAATAAATTCTGTCCTTTTCCTAAATTTGACCATAACCTTCTGTTAAGAAAACAGAAAATACCATGCTGGATAATCAATATTTAAAATATCTACATGTATAACCCCAATGCCATGAATATCACTGAGTAGTTAGTTTGTATAATAAGGGTATATATGATAGTTGTAGAAGCACCAGAGTTCTTTGTTTTCTGGCACAGTTCTGGTGAAAGAATAAGAAATCTGAGGCAATCTGAGGATAAACAAATGTTTACGGTATTAATTATGACTATAACTCAAACTAAACAACGCACAATACCACACACTATACAACATACAAATTACCCTATTTAGGAAAAGGTGTCTCGGAGGTGCCAACATTCTGACCAACCTGAAAAACCCATATATACCCATTTAATATCTTCCAGTTCAGTAAATGCATCCACTAACCAGAACATTTTGATTCCTTATAATGGGAATTATTCTGGGGATTCCTTATAAAGAAAATCAAGTTTCCCTAAAATAACAGAGGGCAAGCTCTCTTAAAGAAGTTTCAAACACTTAGCTAGAATCCGGTCTTTAAGTTTCATTTGACCAAGGTCCTCATGCCTGGCACACTCCTCCTCTTTCCATCTGTTTCCTCCTCTTTTTTTCTTCTCGTTTTGTATCTGTGTGTGTGTCCCGTGCTTCTGCCTACCTGTCTTTTATCCTGTGTCTCTGACTGATGGGGACTCTTAATGATTCATCAAGGAGTTGAGTAGGGTAAAGAACATTTATTGACTCTCAAACCACTTACACTGTTTCTAGATCCCCAAGATCAAATGTAAAAATACATTTTGAAAGGTAACATTTCCATTTGGCGAGCCAAAGGTCATGGTTTTTAGAGCGGGTTTGGCGTTTTGTCTTCCCAAGACCCTGGTCGCCATGGTGAGCGGGTTCCATGAGAAGATCACGGGCCTGGAGGAGCAGGCCTCCCGGCTGGAGCAGGTGGGCAACGACGCCAGCAAGGCTGCCATCAGCCGCTCCATGACCACGGTGTGGCAGCGCTGGACCCGGCTCCGCAGCGTGGCACGAGGCCAGGAGAGGGTCCTGGAGGACAGCGCTCAGGAATGGAGAAGCTTCCGGGATAAGGTTTTTATCACAGCCAACATGAGTTTCCTTTTCTTCAAGCGATATTTCTCAGCATGTCTGTCTACTTTAAATTGATACACCAACATTTGTCAGTACAGGACTGTACTATTACTGTTTTTTTTATTTTAAACTTTTTTAATTGCTCCATGTACAGTACTGGTGTAAGAAATCAACTCACTGGTGACAACAGTTCAATTACACAGGAATACGTTTCCTCTGAAAAAAACACAACCAGCAAATGTGGCTTGAAATAACTCATACTCTGATGCAATCAAAGGCTGCCTGCCAAACGCATTAGCTTGTTTTCCAGTTTTGTCAAGGCTCCCACACGTCTCATTGTTTTTCAGGATATAAGATCAGGAAGCAGGAACTGTTAGTGATCATTTGACAGTGAACGATATGAACATGATGCAATCCAAAGGCAAATAATGAAATCTTAGTCTTTTAAAAGGCTTTAACATTTAACATTGAGTCAAAAGGTGAACAATATGAAAAGATCGTTCAATGTTGTTAATGTGCCGAATTCTCTTACCTTAAATAGAAGCCAGATTATATACTACTGCCATTCCCTTTTTTGTTCTCTGTTGCTTTTTATTTTTCTTTACCTCCCATGAGTTCTTTTACTGCGATTACAAGTCAGACCACTAGTGGATCCTTCTCTTTCAACCTCCTGGATAAATGGAAACCTCCGAACCCTGAAGGACTTTTTAGACATGACTAGCAGATGTTTTCGTTTTCCTGCATTTCCAGAATTTAGATATTAGCTATTTAGACTGAATTTTACTATCAAGACTGAATTTTATGGTGGCACAGTTTTGCAGTGGTTGTGTGTGTGGTCCTGGCCCTGGTGTGTGGGTCTGTGCACCTAAAAAGGATGGATAGGGTGAATTTTAGACTTGGAGAAAAATCCTTTCAGAATAGACTGTGCCCTGTAAGATGAACTCATCTTTTATGTAACAAAAATGTAACACAGCTGCAGTGTCCGCTGCTTTTCACAAATATTCCTCAGGCTGAATCTGTTTGAATGGCCTGAGGAAAGAGAGTTGACTGCTCATTTTTCACTGGGGTTGCTTTCTCCCCCAGGGAAGCTCACAGGAAGTGTGTGTGTGTGTGTGTTTGTGTGGTCATGTCGCAGATGGAGAAGGCAACCAGCATTGCGGAAGAGCTGCAGGCTCGTGTGCCGGACAGCTCTGTGGAGAAAGCCTCCAAAGCTGCCCTGCAGGGCCTCCTGGAGTACCACGACTCCTTCAGCCAGGAGGTAGAGCGTGAGCACTCGGCCCTCGCCCTGCTGCGCCAGTACGCCCTCAGCTTCCTTCGAGACGTGGCCGTCCCCGCGGCCCCGCAGGAAGAGCTGCCCAGCCTGCTGGAAATTAAAGTCATGCAGGACGGCTATGAAAGGTACAGCGGATACCATCCCTAGACATGAATAGACAGTAGACAGTACCACCTTGCAGCCACTTTCATCTAAAGCCACAATCCAAGCCCTAAGGCCCAGAAGAAACTGGTGGACTGTGCAAATTGATTTAAATCATTTTTAATAGATGGATATAAAGATGGATGCTATAGACTATTAGTTTTCCTCACTTTTGTAACTCAGCAAGGTGAAACCAATTAAACATTTGCCGAGTTATGCCTTTAAAAGAGATGCATTGTGTCAAAATGCAAAATTACCAGGTTTTTAAACAGAAACCTTTTGCTCTTCAGAAACTAAGCAAATAAGAAATTTAGCTCTACGTCCCCTGACAGAACTGCAGGGTCAGCTAGTTGATTCCCAGCATCTCCAGGGCACCAATTTAAGTGCGAAGCCGTTGCACATCTCCAGCACTGACGGCTGTGTCTGTGGCGTTTGCAGCCTGCTGCAGCAGGTGAGGAAGAGCAGGAAGGTTGTGCTGCAGGAGCTGAAGGAACGGGAGGAGGTGGAGAAGGAGCTGAACCTGGTGAAGACCTGGATGCAGGACGCGCGAGAGCTCCTGCTCAGCCCCTCGGGCGACGTGGATGCCCTCCTCCAGGAGCTGGAGGTGCTGTGAAGTTTGCTTTTTCTACTGCCGGTCAAAGAAATCAGACAGTTCACTCCAGTTAACTACAGTGTGTATATATATATAATTCCAGACTTGTTCAAATGTCTTTGTAAGGATTTTTAGACCAGATACAGTCTGTATCAATGAACACCTCAGAACTGTCAGCAGTTACTCAACAAGCTAAATCACCTACAGTATTGAATAGTGTAAATTATTTAAATACAATTCGGTTTATTCAATACTACTAAAAGAAGTGCCAAACTAAACTTACTAACTGTACTCCTTGCCCTAATGCTGACAGTAGCTCATACTCTGTTGAAACCTATCTACAACCCTAGTCCTACCTCCAGCTGTAATCCTAACTCCCACCCTAACCAACAGCCAGTAAAGTTCTGCTTTCGTTGCAGTGTTCTAGAAAAGTGAAATTGCGAGGTGCCCATAGCGAGGTTCCTTCTGTTCATGTGATGTAATTCTTTGCGTAGGTCCTGCATGGAGATGTGATTGCCCACCGTCAGAATGTGGAGAAGATAGCCGAACAGCAGCAGACGAAGTATCTAGATCTGTACACCATCCTCCCGTCGGAGATCTCCGTGCAGCTGGCTGAAGTGACGTTGGCCTTGGGAGCCACTGAGGATCAGGTAACTCTGCCCTCTATGCTTTGTCCCGTCAGGGGCTAACGAGCCCCTGAACAGACACCTTGTATGTTTAAATGCAATCATTGCCCAAAGCTTTTACAAACTGTTAGCTTTGCAGCCTTTACAGCATTTGAAAATACTTTTCAAAATGCAGAATAGTTGAGGTTTATTTACAATATACAAAGTGCTTGCTTGTGTTAAGTTTGTGATTTCTTTATCAAATTAGGTCTTTCCCTTCAAAAGTTAATGTGGAGTAGCAGATCACTGATTTACAGTTTAATTTTCTTACTGCTGACAGTGTTGACTTAAGTGTAACTATGCTGTCTTCCCTTAGAAGAAAAAACTGCTGACTTTTCTACTTCAAAGTCTTTCATCACCAAAACCATCAAAAGATGCATGTCTTTTGACTTTACATGAGGGTGTTTTTATTTTGCTTCACATGAAGTGCCAACTTCCTTTTGTTTGTCCTGTAGAGGGCACTCCAATATTAAAGTTCAATTTAATAGCAAAAGACGACATTCAGCGTTTCCAACTGTTGATGCAAGTCAATGAGGATGAAATCGATTAAACTAAATGTAATTCTGTATTGTCTCAATGTTCAAGGTACAAGCCAAAGAGAGAGAAATACAGCAGACACGAGATATAAAGGAGGACTTCAGCTCAAGAATTCATGAGGTTTCAGAGAAGATGAAGACCATTTCTGTGAAACTTAAAGAAAAAGCAACAGATCTTGCTCAAGCTAAAGAGGAAACAAAGGTAAAGTAGCAATTGATCTGATGTGTGCGTGAATTTGTGGGAAGCTGTGGACATTTAATTATTTTAAAACCCAACACATTTGTCTTAAGTAAAATCCTCTTGAAATCTCATTGCAATATATTCTTAAAAAGAAAGAAAATGTCAAAATCACGAGCAGATCATGAGAAGCTTCACAAAATGTGAAATATGATAAATTTTTTTGTCAATTTTAATTGCACTTACAGTATACTGTATGCAGATTGTTTTTACAAAACACTGTCCTTGATTTTTTTATATTGACTACTGTAGACACATCTAAGTAAAATAGCAAACTCTATAAATGTTGTATCAGTTAATGTTAATGAATTGATTGAGGAAGTGGAGTAAGTGAGGTTTGAATCAGTATGTGTAGCAGCCATTTATACACCACAAAGATCATGGAGTAGTCTATAGTGTTCACCTGGAAGGGGAGTGGGTGAGATTTAGGACCCTGGAGGGGATCTACAGTAACTACTAGTTAATGCATTCTAGTGGCACAATATAGGGGGACTAGTGGTTATGCCAACGTGAAGACAAAGAGCAGACTGGCTAGGCACTTGTGGTGGCAGTAGTTGTTATAACTGTTTGGTTTGTGTGAGATGCTGCCTGGCAAAACACAAAGTGATCCAGTACCTGCTACAATATTAGTTTTACATCAGGTTGGGTGCTCTGAGACATCATTCCACCATATACAGTATATAAATCCACAGGAGTCAGGTGCTTCAAGTTTTTGAAAAAGCAAGGAGCTGAAGGAGTCGGTTGTGTGTTGTGTGAGGGGCCTGTTTGTGCCTTGATTCCACGAGTAAAGGGTCTGGGGGTGTTACCAATGTCAAACCATACTGTAGTTAGCGAGAGGTAGGAACTGGTGTATCACTCAGTCTGGGATACCACAATCAAAGAGCTCAGTGATTAATTAAGTGTATTAAAAATACTTTTTGTTTCAGTGCCTTTGTGATGAGTTGGAGAGTTGTGGAATTAAACTCCTTGAGTTGGATGCGTCAGTGCAGGAGTTTGGGGAGCAAAATCCCCTTTTGGGAAAACAACTGAATGATGCCATAGGAAAACTCACTGAGATTCATCATCACACTCAAAGACTGGCAGATTACAAGACTGCTAAACTGAAGAAGGTAAGTTGAGCACTTTCCATATACTGTACCAGCAGGGGTCAGCTACATGATAACTTCAGAGAAAAATATTAATGTTAATACATCTTCCACATCAGGTTTGTGTAATGCAAAATGCATTACAAATGTCTAATTTAATTGACCTGTTCCATTGTAATTTCTGTTTTATTATTATTATTAGTAGTATTTCTATTATTATTAGTGGTGATGTTAATAATAGGTTAGGGTGTAAATCGACCACATTTTTACTAAATGGCCAGCAATCAGCATGAACGAGACCAAACTCGTGAACCTTATTTTTTAAAAAAAATTGTTACATTCTAACAAAAAAAATGGTTGCACTGTGGTGAACTGCAGAAACGCAAACCATTATTCTTTGTGAATTTACTTAAAAACTAAATGTGTTGTACATGGATACTTTGTTTCATTCTTGAAGTGCACCATATTTTGCCGAGCCAGCCAGGAGAAGTACGTCATACAGAAAAGACTCCTACTTTCCTAAAGACCTCCTGCCTTTCACTGGAGAAATAAGTGCCTCCAATTTGAAATGATCTCAAGATGAGCTAACATCTATGAATGATCTTATAGAGAAATACCTCCAGTTGCAGCCCTAAGTGATAAAAAGTGATCAAACAACAATAGTGAGAGCAAAGGGGAGGAAATAAGTTTGCCCACTGTAGTGCCTGAAGTGACTCTCCGAAGAGAATTCAGAATCTGTGGACAGTTTGGGGAAGGATTAAATACAGTAATATTTCTGGAGTTACAATGAAATCAGTCTTGCTCTCTAGTCTCTGTCTTAATTTTAATTTTACGTGTTTTTAGATCCTCCAATAGAAATACAGTACATGGCCTGCCAAATGTAAATCAGATCACTCATTACTAAGAAATGCTTTACTTTCATCGGTGCCATCTTTAATTAAGGCTGTCTGTTTTATTTAAACTCAGGGTGTTCCACAGAATATTTACATTTGTTTTCTTCTGTTTTTGCTCTCTAGGCGGCCACACATTTAGATGAGTATAATGAAATGCTCGATTTTATCATGAAGTGGGCAGAGAAAGCAAAGACGCTGGTGAAAAGCAGCGTGGTCTGGAGTTCAGCTTCACACCTCCACGACCAGATAAGGACCTACCAGGTGAATGGAATTTGTGCAACAGCAGTAACAAAATGTGTTTTAACTAGATGCTTAGGTCATTTTCTGTGTAAGGAAGTCACCTCAACATGCTTCTGTGTAACATACAGCATGTTGCATTCTTGTTCCAAGTACAGAGTATCCTAGATTTTACAGACTAAATCCAAATATCTGTAAAATAGCATCTGTATGAAACCAAAAGTCCGTTAAATAACAAGTAATATATTTTGAAGCACAATGCCACCCGTATTTACGTGAAAAACTACAAATTTCGTTACATATTACATATCATGCATTAGATAATAATAAATAATAAATTACCTACCGTACCCTCTTTTAACAAGAAAAAAAACTGAACATTATATAGTTGCGATAGAATGATCTATATACTAAATATGCTACTTTCGCAGCACGACTGACGAAGTACATACATACTGTACCGACATATCAACCAGACTATTTCGGGGAAGTACTGAAATACCGACATACAGTATCAACAGGAAAATAATAGGGAAGAACCGACATATGAACTGTTAAATCATTAAACCGTTTTGTCCATTAAATCCGAAATCCGTTAAATAGGGGTCCGTTACATCGAGGATTTACTGTAATTGAATTTTACCTCAGCTGTTCCCTCTGCTCCTCACATGTGACTTTGTAACGAATGTCCTCCTGCACTCTGTTTGCCGATGTCAGTCTGTACTGCGCGAGTCCAGAGAGATCCACAGCGACCTGGAGGCCATGGCAGAGAAGGCCGAGTATCTGTCGGAAGTGCTGCACACGGAGGCCATGACCCTGCAGGTGTCTGAGCTGAGCCGGCAGGCCGAGGAGCTGCAGCAGGCCATCCGCACCCGCCTGCAGAACCTGCAGGACGCAGCCAAGGTACTGCGGCTTCCGGGCCGACCGGACCGACATGTGGTCCGTTCAGTGTGCTGGAGGAATCGGGCCCAATAAAACAGTGGTCCTCAAAATCCAATGGCGCCAAAGTCTTAGCAGAAGCTGGCCCTTCACAACCTTTGTCTAGTTCCTGAGCAGGGCCTCCAATTCAAAGGGGATCCAATTAAACAAGGTGTCTGTTTACCAAATGGTTGTAATAATCATTTTATAATAAGTACTCTTATAATATATTTTGTTCTAAAGCAACTAGCCTTATGCAGTGTTACCTGTTTTTTTTTAAATTCACTGAACAAAACTGGAGTGTTTCACACATACTGTACAAATATCAATGTTCTGAGAAACTAGAGAGCGTGTTAAAAAGAGGTTTAACTTGAGCATGCCCATAGATTATAAAGCATAATATTAAATTATTTCATCTAGCGCAGCAGTGTTTGCTTTGACTTCACTAATCTTGTATTGGGCTTGTAGAACAACATAATACTTCAGGTTTTTTAACCCTTATAGCCTGAAAGACACAGAGGGACACTGTAATCCATATTCAGAGAAATATAGTATTTACTAGAACTGGCTTAATTCTTTATGGAGCTTAATAGAAAATCCAATGTAATGTAAATTTGATAACCTTGGTAGTTTTCCTTCTTCCACATGGAAAGAAACAATGTTTTTGTAAAATTACAGAGGAAATATTGTATAGAAAGCTTAGATGATGAGAGTTTAGTCTGTTTGGGGTGTAGTTTTTTGCAGGATAAAAACAAGAATGCATAAATGATAAAAATATTACCAAAGTAAATGGAAATCATGTTTTAGTTTTTGTTCATCAAAGGTGAATAACATTCTAAAGATGTACTAGAAAATTATAAAACAGTAACACATTTTTAAAATTATTTCTGAACACATTGAACACATTTAGCTAAACTAAACTACAGTATGTTGTCAGTTACCTTTCCCTGTTGCAAACATCAAGCAATTTCATGAAAAGTGAATGGTGTAATTATTAGTGACCTATATTATAATTGGTATGATAAATGGTTAAGTATTACTTAGTTTCCTAGATTATTTCATAGTCTTTAGTTATTTTTGTGATTCCTTTGGTTCTTCATGATACATTTGTTTGCATTTGATTATGAATATTAATGGCCTAAAGGGAGAACTCTATAAAAAGGTAAGGTAGGCTTGTCACTCCCAAATTCAGTACCTGCTAATTAAAATATTCAATACTGGCACAAATTTTTGCAGAAATGGTGCAGAAAAGAGCAATACTGAATCATCTCTACCTGTTTATGAAACATTTCCACCATTGTAAACGGAAAATCTATTACTACACACAAGTTAACATGAAATTCTTTTGAGGAAGTATTCTACACCCATTTAAATGCACTTCATGTCCCTCAGGACATGGAGAGATTTGAGTGTGAAGTGAAAGCCCTGCATGCGGCACTGGAACAGACCCAAATCACCCTGACCTCACCTGAACTGGCCCGCTTGAGCCTGAAGGAGCAACTTGCCCAAAGACAGGTACTGTAAGAACATAATAACATAACAAGTTTTATGAGGGGAGGACTTCAGGTCTATATACTGTACATCATTACAGAGTATACACATCTACAGTATAAATGAACACACATGGATGAAATACAGCATCTAATGGAGAGACGCTGTATCCATACTTTGATTATTCTGAATTGTATAGAGTGTGGAGTTTTATTTTTTACCTGGCTTTGCAGCGCTTGCTGACTGAGATGGAGGGCTTCAAGCAGAAAGTCCATGCAGTGCAGGTGTGTCAGAGTGCCCTGCGGATCCCAGAGGAGGTGGTGACTAGCCTGCCTATCTGTCAGACCGCGCTGGGGCTGCAGCAGGAGGCCAGTCAGCTGCAGCACACTGCCATCCAGCAGTGTAACATTCTGCAGGTGAGAGTTCAAAAGGACCACACTTCTGTGTGCCAACTCTGCTGGGTTTATCATATCAACCAGCAGCCATATCACCCTGCAGCTCACAACTGACAACCCACTGAAGCTCAGCAGATGTGAGCCTGCTTAGTACCTGGGTGGGGAACCTCCTGGGAAAAACTAAGGTTGCTGCTGGAAGAGGTATTAGCGGGGGCACTAGGTCTGTGGTCTGTGTGGGTCCTAATGCCCCAGTATAGTGAAGGGGACATTACACCGTCCTTCAGATGAGATGTAAAACATAGGTCCTGACTCTCTGTGGTCATTAAAAATACCAGTGCATTTCTCGAAAAGAGTAGGAGTGGTACCCTGGTGTCCTGGCCAAATTTCCCCCTGTCCTTTACCAGTTATGGTCCCGTAATAGTCCTCATCTATGAATTGGCTTCATCACTCTGTTCTCTTCCACTCTGATTACTGTGAGCATTCTGGCACACTATGGCTCCCGTTGCATCATCCAGGTGGGGAGTGTCTAGAAAAGTGCGATATATGTGTAAGGAATTATTGTAATTATTATTATATTCACCAGTGTAGGAAGTGCATTGCTGTTTGGTTTTCACTGAGGGCTAAGGTCTTCATGAATAGGCCCTTAAAGTGAAGACGTGCACGGCTGTGTTAAGGAGGGGGAGTCTGTGTGTCTATGCAGGAGGCAGTGGTGCAGTACGAGCAGTATGAGCTGGAGGTGAAGCACCTGCAGTGCCTGATCGAGGAAGCTCACCGCGTCATCCAGGACAGGCCCGTCTCCACCAGCAACATCCAGGAGCTGCAGGCTCAGATCCTTCACCATGAGGTAAACCTGGAAACAGAAATCTGTCTAAAAAATGTGAGCTTCGAAAACCGTCTTGATAACATTCATGACATCATTCATGACATCGTCTAAAAATATAAATCAAGAAGATTTTACATAATGGGATTTACTTACTTGCCCTCTTGCTCTTAAATCGTTTCACTATTTATACACTGAAAAGTATTTTAAAATGCAGCCCACCAAATTTGCAAATTAAAGATTTAGAGATTATAAAGAAGAGATCTCAGGAGAGATTTGAGGGTAAAGCAGAGGTACAATCTGGAGAGAATTTTGAATATTTATTAAAAGATTCAAGTACAGTATGTATGTATTTCACAAAGATCATCTTTCAGAGTGCATTTTCAGATAAAGCAGTCAATATACTGTCATTTATGGGAATATATAATGTACATTAGTAAGCTAAAGCAATTTCACAAAGCAAAACATTAGAAGCACCTAAAAAGACCTTTACATATACTGTACTGACGATACAGTAGTTGGGCAACCAGAGACAACTGACCTTTCTTTATTCACATTCCCATGATTCATAGTGACTGCTTAATCTTAAAAAGAGCTAACTTGACCACACTGTTGAGCCTTAATAATGGAAACAGCTGTCCATGGCTAAAACTTCTAAGTCTATTTAGATGGTTCATTAATATATATGCAATGTTTAGACTAAAACAGTTTTACTGTAGAAAAGAAAACATGAACCTCTTGTTTTTGTTCAAAATTCCCAAATGAAATTTTTAATATCTCAGGAGTCTTAGTTTTACATATTTTGTTGGAGGTATAAGAGAACTGGAAATTGACAAAAAATAATAGGTACCAAATAGTAATTAAATATTAGGTGACATTTTAGTTTTGTACTAAGTCTTTTTACCATTGTAATTTACTTAATCAGAAAGCTTTCAATACAATTTCAAAATTAAGTATATTCTGGGGTTCAGCAAATACTCGTGTATCATATTATTTGTTGTCATGCATTTGTCATTTCTTGTAGCCCCTCTGCTGATGCAGTGTACTGTCTCTGAAGAGCTAGTTCTTGCATTTGATGTGAAACTGTTGAGAATATATTGCAGTAAGATGGGTCTTAGGTAGAGTTTAGGCTCTGTAGCTGAGCAGTGCATTTTTTACAGTTTCAGTCATCACATGACCTAATTACAAAGGCATTGGCCATCTGGGGATAGAGGGGAGTGGGGGGTTGGGCCTGCAGGACAGAGTCTAGCTCAGCTGAACTCGTACACAGGAGTGTCAGGGCTGCTATTTCCAGCTCTTTTGTTATGAAGAATCTTCTAGAGGAGGGCAGCAGACAAAACCAAGCTTCCTGCAGCTGGTCTGCCTCTGCTGCTCTGCTTTATGGTTGGACTGCCGCAGTGGAATTTCTGTTCCGCCTCTGTGCCGAACCTCACAGCCTAACATCCTGTCTGCAGTGGGAGTCTCGAGACACTGCTGCTGGTGCAGTTTGTGTCAGAGCTCTGTCTGCGATCTCATTGGTTTGACTGCGCTTTGATACAACGGCAAAGCTCGCGCTTTTTCATAAATAGAAAGATGAAATCCTACTCCTCCTAGTTTGTGCGGTACTGTGTCCTTGCTTTTTGATTTGTTTTGTTTTTTCCCCCCCTGCTTAGAGCTTCAGGCTGTCTTTTGTTTTTGGTGCTCTCTGCCGTCTCTGCACTGACGATCAAAATGTTTTCACAGGAGCTAGCCCAGAAGATTAAAGGTTACCAGGAGCAGATCGCCTCCCTGAATTCCAAATGCAAGATGCTGACAATGAAAGCCAAGCATGCCACAATGCTGCTGACTGTCACAGAGGTGGAAGGGCTGTCAGAAGGCCTTGATGAGCTGGATGCTGAGGTCCTCTCCAAACACCCTGCTACTCACCCCTCTGTGGTGATGGTAAGAGCCGTGGCCTGTGGCTGCCCTGGTAACCCAGTGCCTTTTTTTGTGTTTAACTGATGAACAGGCTTCACACGCTCTTAACTCTATACTCCTGCGACAGCCTGCTGCTCATCACCTGGGCTTGCCAGGAACTTCACGAATCAAACTGTAGTTTGCTGCCTGTTTTCATATCAGTTCTGCTTCAGTGAAGCTTAATGTAAAGTTACCTGCACTTTTCATTTTTGGTAAGAAAATGCTGTGTATATATGAATATATTTTTGCTGCGGCAGTAATTGAGCCCCCACTCGGAATGACGACAAATCTATGGTGTAATATGGTGGAGGAGCAAATTACAGCAAAAAGTGTCAGGGAAACACAATCTATTTCAGCGGGTGTTTCTGTTTCTCACAGAATTTTAGACCCTCAATGGAGGTGTAGCACTGTCATACTGATTTAATCACTTAAATCTTTTTTAAAGGCACAACTATTTATTTGACTGATGCTCTTATTCGGAGTGGCTTACAGTTGTCTCTACTGTATGTAAAGAACCAATAAGAGTGAAATACCTTACTTGAGACTATTTATGGGACTTGAAGATTGTTTCAGTCAGCATTTCAGGTTTTAAAATTAAAACATTTGGCCAGATTGGGTTTGATCTTCGACTTAAAACTGAATTTCTTGACTTCAGTGGAACATGGAGGCTAACATTCAATTTAATGTAAGTCTGTAAAACTTACAGACTTTGTGCCTTTTCATTCAATTACAATTTTCTTATATAAAGGTACCCTTCACTATTTCAATTAGACCAAACTCTTAAAATATTTTATAACGTTGTCCACAAACCAGGTTTTTATGTAGTGTTCTCCACATAATTTTGCTGTGACAGTCTAAATATCTTCATGAGGAAATTTAGACATTGTGCTTGGTGTCTTTTAATTTGTAATTTCATTTAAAAAAATTCTCATCTTGAAAATGCTTCAGAAAACATATACAATTGCCTATATTTTTCTGCTGTGCTTTTAATAAACACCGTCTTATTTGGTTATCTTTCTGATCTTTCTCTCCGTCTTCCCCTCTGGTGGTTGGTGTACTCACTCTCTCCTAACCTGCCCTCTTGTGTGTCAGATGACCGCTGGTCGCTGCCACACACTCCTCTCACCTGTCACAGAGGAGTCTGGGGAAGAGGGAACCAACAGTGAGATTTCCTCCCCACCTGCCTGTCGCTCCCCTTCACCTGTGGCTAACAATGATGCTTCCGTTAACCAGGTACCACCATCTGGGCTCTCGCTGCACATGTCCTGCAGGTTTCTGCATGGAAGTAGGCCTCAGGGTTAAATTTAAGCCATACTGTATGTTTTAGAATTCAAGCCTTGTGACTTAATACTAATATAGCATGAGACTGGAAGACCTGGGTTTGTTTTTGTAATTGAGGAAGCATTTGCCTCCTGTGCACTAAGACTCCAAATTAAACATGACTTTCTGTCTTTGACAGGTTGAACAGCTGTCAGATTTTCATATTTTTATTTTTCTATTAGTGGAATTACAAAAGTAGCTTTAGCAACTCCCGGAAGCTAGAAGGAAAGGATTAAGATCTGGCACAGTAGTTGTATTACTGCAGTAATATAACAGAAATTGTAAGAAGATACGCTTCTTTTTATTCTAATTTACATAGGTATTCAGAGGGATACACAATTTTAATTTATGTAAGATTTCAAAAATTAGTAATTGTGCAGCCAGGATCTGAAGATGTGTTCCATGCAAAACCCTGCTAAAGCAACATGTTTTAACAAAGATAATGAGAAAAATGCTTCAAACTAGTACTTACAGGTTTTTCACTCTTAGGACAACCCCTATAAACATATTCTTGCTCTTTGCAGGTGATTTTTTTTTTCAAAACCATTCTTTATTCATAATATACTTTAAACATTTCAACTTCTAACACTTAAAGGTATTTCAAAAATCATGCATCAAACAAAATTAAAACTTAACCTTCATCTTCGTAAGCATCATCAGCGTATAGCATCTTCTTTTTATGCTGTGTGCAGGCCTAACTGTCTACTGAGGTAATGTGGAAAAAAATGGGATGCTTGTTCATTCTTTTAAGGATACTTTCTCTTTGAAATAAAGTTAATAATAATGCAACAATAACAAAATAACACTGAATTTGTGCAAATAAAACTGTGCTGCCTTTGACTCTAATGCAGAGAGTTCTAAGACCGTTTTGAGGCATATTAATCTTACAGTGCCTTCATAAATACACAATCCTGAAATCTCTCAGGGATTAAAGCAAACTGTCAGAAAAATCTGCTGTATGTCATAATTGCCACAAATGTTCACTTTGCTATTTTTATTTTTAGTGCATTTTGGTCCAAAGCAGTGTGAGCTATTACAGTATATATATATAGTAAATGAAATTGATGTACTTTGACCATTGATATATTCACTTTATGTTTTATTATTTATATAAAACTTGAGTAATCATAGAGCCAGCTTGAAGTGCGGGTCAGCGGCTGAACTGATGCTTAAAGTACAAAGGGTTTTAATTAATATTGTTAGTTTCTGTTCCAATCTTTCTAATCAAAGCTCTGGCATTGACTAGAATTTTTGTTCACCCTTTCATTGAGATGAGAGTACCTTGTCGAAATGATACCATCACTTCTTTCTAGAAACAGCAGGATGAAACCCTCCGATCAATTAGCTATCAAAAGCTAAACAAACTAGATGGGCCAGAGGGATACATTCATTAAGTTCCATGCACTCATCTGGAAAATGTACTGTATCTTGCTCTGTAACAGCCATTGAGCACTTCCATCTGTACATGTGATCTGTGTACATGAGTGTGGCTCAATTACAAACGCAAATATTTTCTGGTAGTTTTTTTAACTTAAAACAAAAACACACTGGAAAAGTCTTTTACTATGGAAGCGCATTGCTGCCACCAAGGAAAAACAAAATCCTAACCCTTATCTCGTAATTCAGAAAAATTATCATAATTACTGTATGAATTATTCTCGCATACTTCATGTGCTCATGCGATAGCACAATTGTCGTATAATACCTATATCAAGTAGGTAGCTACGTCAGCATGCGTAGGCTGCAAAGGAACATGTTAAAGGTTTATTCCATGCTGCAAAGAGAAGAAAGGAA